TCCAAAGCCCCCCTGCCCCTCCCTCCATCAGCCTGAGTCAGTCCTGGTCAGGCCTCCTCCACCAGCAGCCACCACTGAGCTCGGCAGACAGACCACAGTGTTTACAGTGGTCCTATTGTAATGCTGGAAATAAGGGCATGATTCCGACATTAGCGGGTCCTGCTGGTTTGGCCCGGGACGCTGAGGGCTTTGAAGGCGGGGCAGGCAGACGCTGAGATGGCATAAAGGCTTTGTTTGGGTTAAGCCCAGAGTCTTCATGTTTTATAGACTCTCAGTTTGGTGCGGAGTGAGCTGTGTTTAATTGTAATAATGCTGAGCTGCCAGTGAAGAGAAACCCAGACAGGACTTGTGCACCGCAAACAAAAGACACAGTATGTTAATTGAAGCTTGAGTTGTTGTTTTATCTTAATTTGTATACTTGACAAAGGAGAAATCATTCATTTGAAAAGAATGAGATAAGATGTAGGCCTAATACAATTCAAATCTTTGTTTCCCAACATTCAGTGGGTGCTCTCCACATGTTCAACTAATTTCAATTCAATTTAATTTGTTTGGCCCTAAATCACTACAGGAGTTATCTCGGAGGACTTAAAGCCATTGATTCGCCAACACAGATCAGAGAATCAAACACAATGATGAAAAACACAGTCATCGGTTCATACAGGATGGATGAATAAAGTCCATAAATGTTGTTGAATGTGTCATGTCTACATAACTGTGGTCTACCACCATTATCCCTGAACAAGAGTGACATAGGTCCCAGTCCCCCTCAGCCTCCTCTTCCTTCCACATAGAGACCTGGGCTGGCGTGTCAGAACCAAGCGCCTATAGACCATTAAGTCTTTTGCCAAGACGTGGTCAGTGTGACCAGTCCATAATTTAGACAGAATTAAAAGCAAACTCTTTCATAGACTTTGTGTGAGACACATGTGGCTCAGGTGAAGGTTTTAAAACAACACACAGGTCACAATAAGAACTATACTTTGCGTAATGGCAGTGGAACAAAAGTGATGCTCATTCTGTCAGAGTTTAACCTGTTGCATGAGCTGCAGCAACAGCTTTTGTTCATAAATATGTTTTATATAGCGCTTTTTTGGACACTCAAAGACACTTCACATGTCATTCTTTCACTCTACACAGTGGTGATAAACTATTACTGTAGCCACAGCTGCCCTGGGGCACACTGACAGAAACAAGGCAACCAGTATGTGCCATCTGCCCCTCCAGGTGGAGGATGAATCTGGTGTGTATGTATTCACATACAATGCATGTGAATACATACATTTCATTCTAGGCAATGGGTGAGGTGTCTTGCCCCAAGGACGCAACAACAGCAGACATCAGTGGGAGTCGGTGGAGAAAGTATTGTGGTGGGCTCGAACTCACAACTTTCAGGCTCAAAGGCCAATGCTCTATCAACTGAGCCAACTTAAATTCTCTCCAATGTCCAATAGCCAACTAGACCATATGTACAAAGATAATTAGAATTGTACATATGGTCTAGTTTATCTTTTTACAGAAATATTGTCTTTCTGTGAAAAGATACAAAAGCAGTCTTTAAAAGTGACTAAAATAAAGGACAATATAACCATGTTTATAAATGCACTTTTTGATGCATTACACAAATAAACAACAGTACTGTTGACCCTTTAAAAAAGCACATACAAAGAAAAGAGTCTCCAGGATTCTCCACATTTGACATAGTTTATTAAGGCTACAGCGGCTCATCCAAAGCACAAGACAGGACTGTAGACTCCACATACAAAAGTGACATGCCACCTCCCACTCGTGAAATGTACAATATTTACACATGTTAACTTTTATTCTGTGGCTGGAGAAAGAGCGGAGGTCTAGTACAAAAGGAGAGGAAAAACCACACGTTGCGTTTTGCATTGAAACGGTAGAAAAACTGAACAGTGCTGGTCATAATACTGAGGAGTAGAGGTGAGGTAAGATCTGTTATAAGAAAATCCAGCATTGTGAGTAGAAAAGATAGACCTGGATCTAGAGGAGACCTGTGGCAGTAGTAACGTAGTGATTTATGAGGTACATGTCGCAGTATTCACAGTAGAAGTATTGGTGCACGTGCTGAGCTCTTACGCATCGATCAACAATAACCGTGTGTTTGAAACAAAAAGAACATTTCAATATTTTTGTGGAATCATCCCTTTAACACTAGAACTCCCAAAGCAGTCAATTTGACGGCTTTTCACTTTGGGAATTAATTAAATTATGCATGTTTTTTCATCTTATTAACTTCTTCTGTTTCTATATGTAGTTTCTTTTGTCCACCCTAGACTGCTCTGGTCCAGGACTGATCCAAGTTACCATATCAAAACAAAAATTTAGTTGCATTTATTTATATTCACTAGTTTTAGCATGTACTGTAGTTAAAACTGTACGAACTGTTAATTTTAATGAAGTAGTGAAAAACCACAAACTACAAATTTTGTCTGAATTCTATTAATTTGAATGGGAGCCGTCAAAATGACTGCTCTGGGAGTTTTAGTGGTTTCAGATTTCTGGGAATCCTAGTGTTAAAGAGTTCCAAATTCACGCCATCCAACAAGTCCTTTGCCGCAAACGCCACCCGACTCGGATGTTCACAGAAAATGATCACAAATCTTAAAAAACGGCTTCACAGTTCAGCTGCGATAATTGAAAAAAAAATATTTTTCTTTTCATCCCTTTATAAACACCAACCTCGAAGCACCGGCAGCCTCCGTTTGCAAGATTCACCAATGGGACAAAGCCAGTTAGTCTTCTTTCAAGAACTGTTGCTTTATTTTCTCATTCAAAGGGAGACATTTCTTTAATCTTTTTAAACAAGATCATTTTGTTTTGTCCCATTGGCAAATTTTGTTTTATGGTAGTCAAAATGTGCTCAAATGAAGATTTTGCTAAATGTTGCTAAATTGTAGCACGTTTTGACTTATTTGCATCCCTTTTTGCAGTGTAGAAACATGATACAGAATAAGTACATTTTAAAATGGCCGTCTTTGCGATGTGACCGTTCATTTGATCTTTCAAAGAAGTATGGCAAATGTTACAAAACAGCTTCAAACTTGAGCGTAAGTGCCGTGCGCCCAACGATAAATGCGTCACCGTAACGCCAACACGCATTAATGCATGTTTTTATTTTAACCTTTTGTGAAAAAATAGAATAAACCCAACTTTTTCTCCTTTGAAATTATTTTTCTCGTCCCTTTATAAACAGCGCGGAGAGATGCAGTCAAAGCAGCGCCTCCACGTGCGCGCATACAACAGTCATGCGTATCGTACTTCATTACTTAGAGCGTGGTTCTCGATAGCCTCGGGTGGTATCACAGTTATGACATGATTTGGCGAACGCACACTTGGAACGTGTCTGCGTGATGTGGCGGCCCTGAGCTGGAGGAATACGACACTGGCTTGCAAAGATCAAACAAATGTACATTACAATAAACATGTAATGGCTTTCGGAACAAAAAAACAAAAAAAACATCTTTCAGATTTTATATGTTCAACATTTCAACATCCAATATATAGATTCAGGTTATAGGTTCAGGATTTTGGGCTAAAGTGCTTAATGCCATCCAAATTTGTTTTATATGACTTTAACTCTGATGTAGTTTAGAGATATAATGCACTGTGCAAAATCGACTAATTACTACTTTTAAACGCTTTGAAAGAGAACAATTTTGATTCAGAATTGAAATCATTTTGGGTCATGCAGACTGACATTCGCGGTGTCCTAAGATTAAGTGCTAGAGTTGTTCTAAAGTGGGTCCAGTTTGAGATTAGGCCAATAGAACGAGGCCTTATTGACACTTTGGGATTCTATTCTAGTCTTCACTTGAACAAAGCTCTTGGGAAGATAATTGTCACAACTCCATTCTTTACAGTGCGGCTCTTATTTAGGGGAAATGCTTAACTTTACAAATATTAAGCATGGTATTGGACACTGAATCATGCTTAAATTTCCATTTTTTCTGGTCTCAAATGGTTAAGGTTTTTAATCTATGAAATTCTTCTGACAAAATTACGACAAAATCTTAGTCTGTCTCAAAGAGGTTAAGACCTCAAAAATGTTTTGGAACACACGTAGTTCTGGAGGTGAGTTTAGCAGTTATTTGGAATCAGTTGTATTTACCCTCACGCTACTGATTCTGTGAAAAAAAAAATTTGAATTGCGATTCTTCTTCTTGGACAGACATTGCCGTTTTCATTCTTCCAATAGTTAAGTTCCGTTCAAAGTTCAACAAAGCTTTTCTAGATATCAGGAATTTCTTGAAGACAGGATTCATTTCAGTAGTTTTGGAATCCATAGACCTTTAGAATCCAGTGATTATAAATCATTTTCTGGATGAATGAAAACAAAAATAATACACTGGCACAATCGCACAAGAACCCACAATCTCCAGTTTAGCTCTGTATACAAATGAACCTACATATTTTACTTGTTTTGATTTTTTCATCATTCTAGATCCCACAAGCAAATACCTTGATCATTGTCACAAGGACTACATTGACAATATTTACCAGAAATATTAGTTGTTTTAAACCTGATATTCAATTTTTCTGTGATCAATTTCAACAGCACAGGTTTAGGCTGAATTATTTTTATTTAAATTTTCAGTTAATAATAGCTTGAGTCGAGTGGTTGTTTTTCTAAATCTGAGCACATTCTGACTCAAAACAAGATTTGCCAACGGGACAAGGCCATTTAGTCTTATTTCAAGAGAAACATTTCTTGCATCTTTCAAGATACTTTCGCTTGTCCCATTTGACATATCTTTTTTAAGGCACAATGTGTTCAAATTAAGATAAATTTTGCCAAATTTGAGCAATTTTTGACTTATTTCTTATCTTATCACTTTTTGCAGTGTACAAACTTGATCCAGAATAAGTGAATATTTTGATGTTTACAACAGATTTAAAAAACTGTCGTCTTTGCGGCTGTGGCGTTTGATCTCTCCGGCCTGGTTCGTTTGGATGGTTGTGGTGGGGGCTTGCTGGTCTCACTGGTTCTCCTCCTCTCGCAGGAACTGGAAGACGGAGGAGAAGTCTTTGTTGGCGTAGCCGCGGGAGCACATCTGACAGATCTGGTGTGCCAGCGAGCCCAGCGGGATGGGCGAGCGCGTGCTGGTGGCCGAGCTCTGTGCGAACCCCAGATCCTGTGAGCGCAAAGCAGAGCACACAGTGAGACCGGAGTTTCATGGAACCAGGGACTGCAGGTGGAAAATCTGGTGCACAACATGTGTCTTTGAGCTTAATGCTGTCCCTTTCAAATACAAACTAAACTTAAGTAGACGGGGTCAACACACATCAGAGAATCCAACAGTTCAAACACAGAAAGAGCAATAAGAAAAAACACAAAGAGCTATCGGTCCATAAAGGTGGTTGAATGTGGAGTGTCCTTTGTCCTTAGAGTATTTCCTCGCCGATGAAGGAGGGTCTAACAGTTTACATGACTGTGACTCTGTTCCTAAAAGATGAAGTACCCAACTTTTAAAATCACAACAAATTCAACAATGTGGCAACAGTGTTAAATGAGAGAGCAGAGAGAGAGCAAAGAGATACCAGAGAGAGAGCAAAGAGAGAGCAGAGAGAGAGCAAAGAGATACCAGAGAGAGAGCAAAGGGAGAGCAGAGAGAGAGCAAAGAGATACCAGAGAGAGAGCAAAGGGAGAGCAGAGAGAGAGCAAAGAGATACCAGAGAGAGAGCAAAGGGAGAGCAGAGAGCAAAGAGATACCAGAGAGAGAGCAAAGAGAGCAGAGAGAGAGAAGAGAGAGCGCAAAGAGAGAGCAGAGAGAGAGGAGAGAGCAGAGAGAGAGCAAAGAGAGAACAGAGAGAGAGCAAAGAGAGAAGAAAGAGCAAAGAGAGCAAAGAGAGAGAGAGAGCGGAGCAAAAAGAGCAGAGGGCAAAGAGAACAAAGAGCAGAGAGCAAAGGGAGAGAAGAGCGAGAGAAGAGGGAGAGAGAAGAGAGAGAGCAAAGAGAGCTGAGAGAGAGCAGAGAGAGCAGAGAGAGAACAGAGAGAGAACAGAGAGAGAGCAGAGAGAAGAGAGAGCAAAGAGAGAGCAGAGAGAGAGAGAGAGAGAGAGAGAGCAAAGAGAGCAGAGAGAGATCAAAGAGAGCAGAGAGCAGAGAGTAGAGAGAGTGCAAAGAGAGCAGAGAGAGCAGAGAGAGAGTAGAGAGAGAGCAAAGAGAGCAGAGAGCAGAGAGAGAGCAGAAAGAGTAGAGAGAGCAAAGAGAGCAGAGAGCAGAGAGAGAGCAAAGAGAGCAGAGAGCAGAGAGAGAGCAGAGAGAGAGAGAGAGAGCAGTAGAGAGAGAGCAAAGAGAGCAGAGAGCAGAGAGAGAGTAGAGAGAGAGCAAAGAGAGCAGAGAGCAGAGAGAGAGCAGAGAGAGAGCAGAGAGCAGAGAGAGAGTAGAGAGAGAGCAAAGAGAGCAGAGAGCAGAGAGAGAGTAGAGAGAGAGCAGAGAGAGAGCAGAGAGAGAGCAGAGAGAGAGCAAAGAGAGCAGAGAGCAGAGAGAGAGTAGAGAGAGAGCAGAGAGAGAGCAGAGAGAGAGCAGAGAGAGCAGAGAGCAGAGAGCAGAGAGAGCAGAGAGCAGAGAGCAAGAGAGCAGAGAGCAGAGAGAAGAGAGAGAGCAGAGAGAGCAGAGAGCAGAGAGAGAGAGAGAGAGAGCAAAGAGAGCAGAGAGCAGCAGAGAGAGAAAGAGAGCAAAGAGAGCAGAGAGCAGAGAGAGAGAGCAGAGAGAGAGAGAGAGCAGAGAGAGCAGAGAGAGCAGAGAGCAGAGAGAGAGAGAGCAGAGAGAGAGCAGAGAGAGCAGAGAGACCAAAGAGAGCAGAGAGAGCAAAGAGAGCAAAGAGAGCAGAGAGCAGAGAGCAGAGAGAGCAGAGAGAGAGAGAGCAGAGAGAGCAGAGAGAGCAGAGAGCAGAGAGAGAGAGAGCAGAGAGAGTAGAGAGAGAGAGCAGTGAGCCTGACTGACAAAAGTACAGAGGGAGATGTTACGTTTTAACTGTTCTTAGTTCTCGTCTTCGTCCCGTTTGTCTACTTTTCCCATTTTTACGCTGGATTTTGATTTTGTGATTGAATAACTTATTTTTTTTTGGGTTTGTGTCATTCAGCCGCCGTGACAACGTACTGCGATATCTTGCTGACTTGTTGCAGTCTGTGCGAGAGCGGCGGCTGTAAAGAGAGCGAGAGTCACAGATGGAGCAGTCAAAGGCAGCGGCGCGCCACAAAAGAGCCTTCAGAGCTGCGCAAAGACAATTATCCTCAGACAAAGCAGAGCCCCAGGAGAGAGCCACAGGAAATCACCAACTAAACACAGTCACACTCTGTTTTAGCCGCTTCATCATGAGCGCAGAGGCCGATGCCCACTGTGCGCACACGCTACTCTCTCCAGGGCAACGAGAGGTGACGGAGACGTGTGCGCTCTGGCTTCAAACATGCCACACTTTTCAGACGTGATTTAACATGTGGGTTTTTCAAAGTGCACGAGGCAGGCTGCGCTGGAATCTATTACACTGCAAAAAGTCAAAAAACTGCTCAAATTTGGCTAAATGTATCTTCATTTGAGCACATTTCGACGGCCTCGAAACAAGAATGGCCAATGGGAAAATGTCTCCCTTAGAATGACAAAATAAAACAAAATAGATTTGTCCCATTGGCAAATCTTGTATTAGGACCCAAATTAAGATTAAAAACCACTCGATTCAAGCAGTTATTACCTCATATTTGATCATTTTTTGCAGTGTACAACAAGCCGTGACCGTCATTTATTGATGGCTGGTGTTTTTGCCGTTAAAACTACAGCAAATCCTTTGTTCAAAGCATTTGTATATGGCTTGGGCAAGTTCCCATGATCCTTCAGTTATTGACTATTTTTTTGAAGATGCCCAAGTTTTTTTTCTTTCTTCACTGCAGTATTCAGTTATCAGAAATCCATGTATTTATTCATGTTTTAGGCATCAATTTAAATAAACTAGAATTATTTGGCAATAGCCGTCAGTGGTTTGATTTTTAGATCCGGAGAAGGCGGTTGATCATGTTCCGACTGTGAGGAGTCTCTGGGAGTCCGGGGCCCTTTAGGTCTGTAATGGCATCAGAGGCACTCAGTTTGTCTCGGCGCATGGTCCAGAGGGTTTTGTTGACAGATGATGTCGTCTTGTTGGCTTCATGAGCCCAGAACCTCTAACATGGACAAGGACTGTTTGAGTGTGGAGCAGAGAAAGCCAATGGTTTCTCCCACAGTGTGGCAGGTGCACTCTCACAGAGCCCTCTAAAGAGGGACGTCATCATTACCCATTTTAAAACAGTGGCTAATGATCATTCTAAGTCTCAATAGTATCAATAAAAACAGGTGTCAGAGGGGAATAAACAGTTCAAAGAGGCAGAGTGACGTGAGTAACCTTGCCGGAGCAGCCTCACTGACTGCTGTTGCTTGTACCTTGGCCATGAGCGTGGTGCCGAAGCCGCCCTGGTAGTTGTTGGCAGATGGTACGCCCTCCATGACCCCGGGCACTGGGTTGTACGCGTCACTGGACCAGCATCGTCCTGAAGACATGTTGAGCACCTGAGAGAGGAGCGCAGGGTCCAGGCCCAGTCTGAGGAACACACCACACACACATGCAAGATTAACACAACAATTCTGACCAACCAAACATTTGGGGAATAACAACCCAGATGGAGCGTTTGATCTTGTTCCGACTGTTATGGGTCACAGATAATATTCCGGGGCATTGTACGAAGTGCAGTGTTGGCATCGGGACACATAGAGGCGTGTTAGAAAGAAGAATTGGTGTCTTGTGCTTTGTTGCAGATTGAAAAACAAACAAAAATGTAACCCCAATGCATATCATGCTAAATTAGCTTTTCACAACTTTGACCAGGCATACAGGCATCTGTCCAGGTGGGTGATAAACTTTGTGCAGTCCATTGTAATGCGTTTCGCTCTGGTCCCGGGTGCACTGCGCTGTGACTTTGGAAGACTTATTTCGAAAGTGGGTCCAAACAATATGCAAATCTTTCCCACGGTTGTCCTGAGAGTACACAGAATATCAGCACATGTCAAAAATCATGCAGCTGTAGTGGAAAAAAGCCTGATACACAGACTAAGGAAAATAATACAAGACTGTATTTGAGAATACAAGACTCAACCACACATGAAACACAAAACACTTTAGTGTAAAAAGAAGGAAAAGCTATTCTAACGTGGTTTAAGAGCTCTTGTTTGTACCATCTGCCTGGACACATTTTGTGGACAGTCTAAAGTAGAAGGGAGGAGAAATATGAGGGTCTGGAGACTGACCCCTGGTGCACCCCCCGCCCGGACCATCCCTCACGGATAATGCCTGGGTGCTTTGTAATGCGGCCTAATGCACTATTGATGTTTAGCAGCGGTCTATCCTTCAGCGCGGCTTTGAGGGAAAGTGGAGGGAGCCCATAAAACTGCCTCTCACACAGCAGCAGCAGAAGCAGCAGCAGAACCAGCAGCAGCAGCAGAAGCATCAGCAACTGCAGCAGCAGCAGCAGCAGCAGAAGCATCAGCAACTGCAGCAGCAGCAGCAGCAGCATCAGCAACTGCAGCAGCAGCAGCAGCAGCAAGAAGCAGCAGCAGAAGCAGCAGCAGCAGAAGCAGCAGAAGCAGCAGAAGCAGCAGCAGAAGCAGCAGCAGCAGCAGGGTGACGGGCTCCATTAGCCGCTGTAGCTCATCAAAGCACAACAGGCACCTACTCTCGCCTAATCACTGCAAATCACACACTCCAAGGTTTAAAAACCCTAGGAAATATCAAGTGAATTGTAACAACATTCCAATAGGGCTCCAACAATCAATTTTTTCTTGCAAAAAGGTGTGAGTGCAGTGACTGCAGCAGTCTTTCATTATGAGGTTTTCTGAGTAGATGCACTACACTAGAAGTTTACACCAAAAGAGTGATTCATGAGGCGGGAAAAAATATTGATCCTTTATTGTGAGTAAAAAACTAAAAGTATTGACTATAGTTTATGCCCCATATTATATGATTCTATTTTTTGTAAATCAGTTTCCCTATATCAAAAGATTGAACATATATTGTGTAAACCCAAAATATATTTTGTATACACTGACTTTTTTGAACACCCTTAGATATTCATGACAAATAATAAGTTGTTAATGTTTTCAAAAGTTGTTAAACTCTCAAACTGTATTTATTGTATAGCCTCGCTAACTTGAGAAACCAACAAAAGTGGATACAACTTTATAAGATATAGAGGACTAATACCATCAAAAACCTAGATGTTCCTGTCCTATACATTTTTTTTCTCCATTTATATAAATAAATACAAATATAAAAGAAATTCCATATCCACTGAACTTTCATGATCTAAACAATTAATCAAAAGGCAGCCAACTAATTGTTAGCAGTTGCAATCACCCTACTAAAAATCGTCCTGTAGTGTGGATGGCAGAACAGCAGAATAAATGATAAAGATGTTTGTAAGACAGCTCAGCGTCTGGACGGAGCGGCCTGATGAAGCCATAAACACACAGAGCAGAGCAGACAGCCTCAGAGTGGGCTGCTGTCAGAGGGTGCGACTCCAGCCACTACACTGCGGCCGCTTTGCTTGTGACAGCACATTGGGGATATTCCACCACATCACTGGGTCCGTACGTGTGGCTGTGTCGGAGCAGCCAGAGCACGGCGGACCCTCCCTCTGCAGCCGCACACACCACCGCACGTTTAAGAGCTGTCTCGCGACTAATTAAGAATGGCAATGGCATTAAGCCGTTCCATTCTCCCGGCTTCTTTGTGTCTGCGTCGCACCGCTTTTAACTGCTCTAATGTTTTGGAAATGTGGCCTGACTGACGCACGTCTTAACAGGCAGTCTCGCTCATGATGGCGTCTCTTATTTTGGTTATTTACGAGACAAACAGAAAAGGAACAAATAAAACCAAAAGCTATGATGCCGCTCATAACGCTTTTCAAATCAGGAGACTTACAATGTCTGGGTTTGGGAACAGTATGTGCAACCAAAAACATGTGCAGGAATATTTTCATTATGTTTGATCATTCGAAGCAAGAAGAGGGAAACTGTTCAAACAATCCTTAAATTAAAAATTTTCAATCATTTTCTGTCCAATCGGGATTTTGAGAACAAACTTTTCTCATGCCAGATTGAAACACTGTAAAACTGAAAGGGCTCAGGGGAAAAACTTTTCATTCAGGGTGCCCAAAATGATAGAAACTTCAATCAACTAAATGCACTTTACTACTATTGTCAGTACATTTTAGATATATGTATTTATATGTTTGTTTAAATGGATGTGTTTCTGCTGTTGGACACTCATTTCTCCTACAGGGATAAAATAAAGTATCCATCCATCCATCCATTTTCTTCCGCTTTATCCGTTGCCGGGTCGCGGGGGCAGCAGTCTAAGCAGAGACGCCCAGACTTCCCTATCCACACACACTTCCTCCAGCTCGTCCGGGGGGACCCCAAGGCGTTCCCAGGCCAGCTGAGAGATATAGTCCCTCCAGCGTGTCCTGGGTCTTCCGCGGGGCCTCCTCCCGGTGGGACGTGCCCGGAACACCTCCCCAGGGAGGCGTCCAGGAGGCATCCGGAACAGATGCCCGAGCCACCTCAACTGGTTCCTCTCGACGTGGAGAAGCAGCGGTTCTACTCCGAGCTCCTCCCGTGTGACTGAGCTCCTCACCCTATCTCTAAGGGAGCGCCCAGCCACTCTGCGGAGGAAGCTCATTTCGACCGCTTGTATCCGCGATCTCGTTCTTTCGGTCATTACCCAAAGCTCATGACCATAGATGAGGGAGGGAACGAAGATAGACCGGTAAATCGAGAGCTTTGCCTTTCGGCTCAGCTCCCTCTTCACCACAACGGTCCGATACAGCGACCGCATAACTGCGCACGCTGCACCGATCCGCCTGTCAATCTCACGCTCCATTCTTCCCTCACTCGTGAACAAGACCCCGAGATACTTGAACTCCTCCACTTGAGGAAGGACCTCTCCACCCACCTGCAGAGGGCAAGGCACCTTTTTCCGGTCGAGCACCATGGCCTCGGATTTGGAGGTGCTGATTCTCATCCCAGCCGCTTCACACTCGGCTGCAAACCGTCCCAGTGCATGCTGCAGGTCCTGGTTCGTTGGAGCCAACAGGACAACATCGTCCGCAAACAGCAGAGATGAAATCCTGTGGTCTCCGAACCGGACCCCCTCCGACCCCTGGCTGCGCCTAGATATTCTGTCCATAAATACAGTGAACAGAACCGGTGACAAAGGGCAGCCCTGTCGGAGGCCAACATTCACCGGGAACAGGTCTGACTTACTGCCGGCAATGCGAACACAGCTCTGGCTCTGGTCATACAGGGATCGGATGGCCCTCAGCAGAGGACCCCCGACCCCGTACTCCCGGAGAACCCCCCAAAGGACACCCCGGGGAACACAGTCGAACGCCTTCTCCAAATCCACAAAGCACATGTGGACAGGTTGGGCGAACTCCCATGAACCCTCGAGTAAATAAATTTCGTCCCGGTCGCGGAAATAAAGTATCCATTTTCATTTAATGTGCCATCTGACCTAGCCTGGTCGTACCACATTATCGTACAATTTACATTTTGTACTAAGGTCTGGCTTTGCTCCAGTGAGCACCTTTAACAGGTGGGAGGGGTTAACTCCTTTTGGAAATTGAAACGATTGGATTGGAGTTTACTGTGACATGTATATTGCGCTCGAGTGAGTAGCTAGCATTTAGCAGGAGTAGCGCCACAATCTTTGCCAGTGAATACATTTGCTAAACATTCCTCTTGCTCCGGCTTCATTTTCTTGATAGAACCAGAACGGATGACTTCACTATTGTATTCTTCGCCATTGCCAAACTACAACCAGCTAATTCGGCGCAAACTCTTGACGTCACCCTCATCTACCTTCAACAACCGCCTCCCGCGCTCGCTGATTGGTTGGATGGGATTCAACCGATGTAATTGCAGACACTTGGACCAGACTCAGACGGTAAATGCAGGGAAATAATAATTGACGGAGTTTACGGATGGCTACATATGACTCATCTCTACTTTAATTTTCTTGTTTTGTGTCAACGGATATATATATTTTTTTATTTAGTGAAAAGCTTTAAGAAGGCCATCTAGAAATAATCTTTGAGAACCAGTTATTTAAGCTTTTTGGTCTAGAAGTTCCATCAACAGCACAATTAGATGAAGCACATTTTTGTTCAATTGAAAAGAAAAGAGACCTCTCCATTCCACACGGTTCACTCAAAAGTCTGTTTCTGTCGACTAGACCACAGTGTTTACAATTACTTCCACATAAATATCAAATATGCTCATATTATAATGTTAAAATGTGATGATCACCCTACGGGCGACACTGTAGATGGCGCTCTTGCTCCTCAGCAAGAAGGTCCTGGGTTCAAATCCTAGTCGGAGCAGGGCTTCTGCTCCGGTTTCCTCCGGGTGCTCCGGTTTCCCATACCACTAAAAACCTTTACAATAGGTCTGGCATGCACCTCCTGTATAGCAACCTAATTTCCATCTCTATGTGGAGTGAGAGACAAATGCCCAAAGAACAATTGTAAAACTTACTTACTATGT